ATATTTGTTGATCTTGCCTGCAAGCCCACCCGACGTCTGCCGGCGCCGATTGCCTCTGCGATATCCTTTCTCCGCCGGATTCGCGGAGACGACGAGACGTTTATAGTCTGGCTCGAGCTGCAGCTCCGATAGCGAGTCTGGGAAGGAAACGGCGACGAGGTGCGAGGCGGGATGACGTCCCGCAAGCGTCATTCTCCTGGGAATTAGTCAGGCATGAGTCGTCCTAAGATACTTGGATCAGGAATCAAAGTAGCAATATAAGCACAGCAGAAGGGGCAGCAAGCATAAGCTGTTATTACAATATTTTTGTAATATTTCTATAAGTTCCGGAGTGGAAGCCTTCTCTTGTTCTGCAAAACTATAAAGTATAATTCTTAATTATACCCTTACAACGTAACAACGTGTCAGAGATCTTTCGACACAGGAATCTCTCACTTGACGAATGTGACTTTCCAAGGCTACGTTATCTTCACTGCTCGCTAATCTCAGATTGTCTCAGTGGTGCTGTTGCGTGCCGAGAAACAGAATACGAAGAAGAAGAATCCCTGATACGTTTCTAAATGTAAAACAAAGTGACAAATTGGCTACTAGGCTTCCTGGTGAAAAAGAATGTTCGTTTCTTCTTAGCGCATCTTTTTAAAATTTCAAAGGGAAGAGGAAAGAAGCTACTGGAATTTGTCCTGTGAAAGACACTTTCGAAAGTTTGTTACCGACTGAGTATTGGCCTAGTTGGTCATTCAACAAATATACGACAACGCAACTCTTTATTTCATCTCTATTATAGTCTCGATGAAAAAAAGAATTGAAACGAGATGCACACCACCACGGCATAGCGGACCGCAAAGTTAAGTTAAAATCGGCCTACGATTTTAACCATATATGAAAGACCCATACGAAGGAAGAGCTCTTGTTTTTTCTCTCGCGGCGGTGTTTCTTTTACAAGCTGACCGGCGGAAGTCCCAGCCGCCGGGCGGTATCGACTTTCCTCCGGGGCTCGTGGCATTTACAGATCCCTCGAACGCGCGGCAGCCAACGGGGGTTCACGAACCGCTGGAATTCCAAAGAACGTTCTCTCGTAAAGCGGCTCGGCTACGAGGAAACGCTCTCTACGTTACCCCCGAAATTGCTCCTCCCGCTAATCAGACGCTTTTTGGCCGAACGCCGTATTCTTCGGAATTCTTCGCCCCTTCTCGAGATCTCTACGCCCTTTCCATGCCCATGCCCCCTTTCGAGGGATAGGAAATCTTCGTCGCTCGGGGGCCCATTCAACCTTCTTTCTTCCGCGAGATTTCATAGTCGAAGCGATTTTGTGATTTATTAAATTTTGGACGAGCTGCGGACGGCTACGATGAATTTTGAAATAGTACATTTTATTTTATACATCGTGCCTTCTGTGATGAAGATTAGTGATAACAAAAAATTACCTAAATCAAAGATAATTTAAAATTCCAAGTCCCAATGATTATCTATTATCTCTGATCTAACAATACCATTTCAGGATTAATTGAGAATTATTTTACGATTGGACCATTTTCGATGTGATCAAAGAGTTACGGATGCTATGTAGAAGTGTGCTGTTCTCTTTTGGAAAATGGTCCAGTATAAAAATTAATTTGTCATGAAGTTTCGAAAATTTCAGTGTTGAACTACCTAGATCGTTCTCCACTCCACTGAATGATCGAGTAATAATTTCGACTCGTCCCTTTGATTCTGTCCCGCTTAATTTTCTGAACTCACACGCCGATAGTTATCCTTACAAGTGGTCGAAAAACGACGCGATGATATGCTACTCGATTCATTCGTTGCTCGAGAAAATTTTGTAACGCGAGAGTTTATGAAATGTTGCCATTGGTCGAAATGAAATGAAAATAATGGCAAGAGGTGGTGGCGTAGTAGTTCCTTATTCGTGGAGGGTGACAGCACGTGAAAGGAAAGTGCAAGAAAAGTATTGGCTAACTATCTAACTTTCTACTTGTACGATGTGTCGAAAGTGGAGCAACGATTAAACACCAGGGATTAATTTTCACGGTCCAATACCGCCGACAAAATTTCATCTAATCTGACTGAGGCGATTCTTGTGAACCAAATAACGAACCGATAACAAGACGCGTTTTATCGCGCGCAGTCAAAATAAAGTGTGGATCCGCCGAATGTGAGAACGTTTGTAAAAGAACATGACAATAATCAAAGTCAAGTATCTAATGGAGATTGACAGCCATGATAGAGCTGTGACAAAAAGATAAAAAACAATTTTTTCACACTGTATGATCTAATAAGAATTCATCTTTGTGAAATTAATCAAACGATAAATGCGAAAGGCTGCTAGATTGATGCAATTTTTCTGGCATTTCGTAATAAATGGAATGTTTTGAATCTGAAAGATTCAATATTGATCCTATTTTTTTCACAGTTCGAACTCTTATCGTGCTATAGAGACATTGGAACATTTGCAAAAAGTTTCTCAGATTGTCAATGTTTATCGTAATATTGCTCGACTGCGGATTTCCATGTATTTATAGATTTCAAGATCTTCATATGAATAATATGAAAAGAAAATTGCACTTACATACAAGAAATACATACAGATAAAAAAAAAATGCATCAGATAATGATCAAACTCTTGCTTTAAATGTTAAAAATCGAAATTTCCAAGACAAAACGCCATGACCGGTATTTAAGAACTAGCAAGATCGATTTAATTAAAAAAAAAAAAAAAAAGAAAAAAGAACGAGAAACTCCGCGGACTTTATCCGCGCGCGCTGATCTTATTCATCGTGGACGACCCGAGGAGAGTCACGGTGGTGGCTCTCCGCTTAAAAATCCCCAGGCGACCCCGGAACTTTTCCAGGAAGTCGTTATAGCCTGGCACGGTGTGGTTCGCTAATTCGGCGCAACTTTCCCAACATTTTTCGCAGGCGATCTCTCGCGAAGAAACTGCTGTTTTATTTATAGCAGAACGCGCTTCGTTATCTTTCCGCCCGATTATCGATCCTCGAGACGCTTTAGGTACTCAACCTACCCACGTCCTCTCTCTCTCTCTCTCTCTCTCTTTTTTCTAGAGCCTCGTTACTTACGGCATCACTTAAAATTTTCTCTCCTGGCGACAAAACAAAACGACGAAGAAAAAGCGAAGATGGGAAAAAAAATAAGAGGAGGAAGAAAAAGGGCGGAATTCTTCTTTCGCGACCCGTTTCATCGTGAGCCGAGGCGCAGAGAGAGAGAGAGAGAGAGAGAGAGAGAGAGAGAGAGAGA